TGATTTGTAAATTTGACTTTTTTTAATGACACAGTTTCATTTTATTTGTTTAATTTAGATGTCAATTTTTAATTATATTTTATTTTGAAGTTTGTAACTTTAAAGAGACTTTAATATAGTTTCTGAACTAGTGTAACACCCGGGGCATGTCCCCGTAGTGTCATTTTAATATAAATTAAAGTGATAAATATTAATAGAGGTTGTGATTTTTTTACAGAACTTGTTAATAGTACTTTTAATGTTTTTTTTGGATGAATAGTACTTTTAATGTTGAAAAGTGAAATATGTTTACTGCTATTTTGTTGAGAAATGAGAAACATGATGTTAAATAATTCATGTTTGTATGATGTATTATTTTGGTTTTACACATTACTTTTATTTTCTATTTATGAGCACATTAGTTTTTTTTAAAGTATGATCACATTAGTTTAAAAAGGTTCATAGTATGCAAATAAAAGTAGAAGGAGATGAAAATGGATGTTCATTTATGTGAAATTTTTATCATGATTCTCCTAATTTTTTTTAATTTATCAATATAAAAAAAGGGAAAACTATCAAACAAGCCCTCATACTATACCGAAAAAGTCGATTAGGCCCTCATACTTTACAAACACTCAATTAAGTCCTCAAACTATTAAAAAACGTTAAATTAAGCCCTTTCGGTCGGTAAGTAACCGGTTTCCCGATTAAATGTAACCTGTTTCCCGGTAGCCGCCGTTGCTGGAGTTCGAGCACATCGTTGTCGCCGTCGCCGTTTAATCGGGAAACCGGTTACTTACCGACCAAAAGGGCTTAATTGAACATTTTTTTAATAGTTTGAGGACTTAATTGAGTGTTTCTAAAGTACGAGGGCATGATCGACTTTTTCGGCATAGTACGGGGGCTTGTTTGGTAAAAATTGATGTTCATTTTTATTAGGAGTTGCAAACTTAGAGGCCGTTTGACAACACTGTTTTTCGGCTTATCAGGCTTATCAGCCAACTTTTTTACCAAACACGTAACTTTTGCTTTCGCGCGCTGAAGTGTGTAATAAGCAGAAAAAGTAAGGTTGAAGTTACTTTTCTGGCTGTATTGGCTAAAGTTATTGTAGATAATCATTTTAGCTATTTTTACATACATTATTTATTTATTTTATTAATAAAATATATTTTAAGAATAATTTTTTCGGTTAAAATAGCAGAATAAGCCAATGCAGCCACTTCAGCCAGAACTTAATAAATTTCAGCAGAATCAGCCAAATCAGCCGATTTTCGTGCTATCAAGCTCTTAATTATAATTGTACTTCTTGAGTGTCAATATTTATTATGGCTTAATAAATTTTCAATTATTTAATTTTTTTTTAAAATTTTGACAATGAGAGAAGAGTGATTTATAATTTGATAAGAAGTTTTAATTAATTGCATGCCCCCCGGTTGTTACATATCAAAATTTCATATAAACTTCATAATTTAATACGTAGTATGTAGTACAAAATTTGTTTAATAAAGGTTCCATTTTGTTTAAAGTGTGCATGAAATTTCATATAAACTTTTAATTTGTATCGGGTTTTTTAAAATAAATTTTATATTTGGTTCTTTACTTTGAGCTGGTGAGTAAAATGATGATTGTCATTATTCTTGTATTCGAATAAATTTCAAAACATTACGCTTCTAGTTTAGTCGTTGTGGTAATGGACTAATGGGTGAGTAGCTAGCTAGGATTCCAAATTTTGAATATTTAATTTTCTATGCTTGGTATCTTCATTCTTTAGATAAACTTGTCCCTTTTGGTCTTTAATATAGCATTTTTTATCCTGTTATTTTTTGTCATTCTTGATTACTATTCTTGGGAGGTCTATATAAATAATACGAAGTATAATGTTCACTCTACTACCCATTTCTACATACAATCCGTACACACTTTTCATACACACGTACATACTCGTGTCTGTGAAATGTTTTTACAGACAAAAAAAAAACCTTTTATAGACAAGAGTGTGTATACGTACGTTTGTGTATGAGAAGTGTGTAACAATGTATTTTTTCTTCTACATATTGATCTTTATTTAAAGATCTATCCCTACAAAGGGATTCAAGCCATTAAATTACCTTCTTCATTGAGTGATTGCCCAATTCTCACTTTTGTATCAAAAGTCTTGGCGGTCACATGAATTTCAATCTTCTTGCTTTTGTAGGGAGTGTTTGCGATTGCTTCAACTTTAAAAAAGTGATTTTTAAAGTGATTTTGGGGAAAAGTGATTAATAGTAAAAGTTGGTAGTGTTTGAGAAAAAAGTGATTCTGAAAACGTAAAAGTTTGTAGTGTTTGGTAAAATAAGTACTTTTTGTGTAATAGAAAAAGTGAGAAGCAGTTTAAAGCACCCTTCTACCTGCTTCCAGCTTTTAACTTTTAAGTGATTAATTTAAGCAGAAGCTATCATTTGAAAGCTATAATTTTAGCTTTCAACTTTTTTTAAGTCAAAAAGCTGAAAAACACTTTTTTTAATCAACCCCAAACACTCCTCTAATCACGCCTTTTGTAAACTGTCTTTCACAATTACCACAAGCTTCTCTTTTCTTTGGAAATGCTACTCCCGTTTTCTTTTAAGTGCAAAATTTCAATTTTCACATTTTTCAACATAGTCTCAATCATTAGCATATTTAATTTTTTATTAGTAAAAACTAAAAGATTCATATTATGATGAGACAAATCTAATCATATTTAAGAAAATACGGAGTAATAATTTATCAATAAATAAAACATGATCAAAATAGGATATTTGAATAATGAAATAATCTAGTATATTTGTTGACAAAAGGTGACGGTAACATTGTGTTGAGTTTGATAACAAAATGAAATAAAGGGGTTTTTATTTGAATATTATAAATAAACGGACAATTGACAGAAAATTGACTTTTTTATAAATTCCAAAAAATGTGACTAATATGTCATAAGGTATAGTAACACGCTACATGCCCATACAATGACAAGTGACGCGCTATAGTGACACGAGCATAATAGTGGTGAATTTTTTCACCACTACCTTCCTGATTCATGACTGCCGCCGGTCGGAGACTGTCGTCGATCATAGTGACATCGACCATAATTATTTGTCAATAGTGACGCCGTTATCACCTTGACAATATCCCTCCCCAGCCTCCAATTCCACTCCCAAGCTAAGACACAACACTATTCCACCGTCATAGCCCGCCCGTAGCACCCTAGCCGTCAGATCCAACCACCACACCTCGTCCCTCAGCCACCAAACACCATTTCCGCAACCATGACCTCCACCTTTCCTCAAACTGTAGTTGTACTAGATCTGAAAATGGCAGGGGCGAGACACAAGGGGAGGGGGGGGGGGAAGGTGGCCGGCGATGGACTTCAAATGGCATCGAGCGACGAAGGTGCGAACCGAGGTGAGCGATGAAGGTGTGGCGACGGGCTTTGGCGGCAACGATGAGCTTTGGCAGTGCAGTGCAACCTCGCGTCGCGGCGGTGATAGCGGAGCGACGTGACCCGGAGGAGGAGCCGCGACCTCACATAGACGATGCTGGCGGATTTGAGTGGAGCTTGAAAACGGAGGACAGTACTGGAAGATGGAGGAGGTTTGGCCAGAGAGAAAATAACAGTGGTAGAGTAGACGCAGAGAAAGTGCATAGAGGAAGGGCGACGGGTTGGGCAGGCGAGAGACTTTTCTTTTTTAAATTAAATGGTCGTTTTTTGTCTTTTTATAAAATGATCATATTTTGTCTAATGAAATTTAGGAAGTAATATTAGTGTCATTTCATTGTTTCATGAATTAATCTAATTACGTACGAATCAAATAAAACCAAATGAAATTAAATATAATCTGGTTTTATTAAATAATCATTTTCATGACTCACATTGAACCAAATCACAACAAAACAAAGAAATAGGAAAGAGAGTTTTTCCTAAATATCTATAATAATATAAAGTTACAAGGTGTGACACCTTGCTTTTCCCTCCAATTAGACATTTAATGCTTCATACCCATTAAAAAATAAGAGTTACATGAATATTAGAGTAATTGGAATATCTTCTATAATAATAATATAAAGTAACATGGTGTGACACCTTGGTTTTCCCTCCAATTAGACATTTAATGCTTCATACCGATTAAAAAATAAGAGTTACATGAATGTTAGAGTAACCTATAATATATATAATAATATAAAGTAACAAGGAGTGGCACCTTGCTTTTTCCTCCAATTAGACATTCAATCTATAATAATATAAAGTAACAAGGTGTGACACCTTACTTTTCCCTCCAATTAGACATTTAATGCTTCATACTTATTAAAAAATGAGAGCTACAATGCATCCAATCACTCCAAATAAGAGTTCCTCAATTGCATGAGTCCTTTGTTATTACCCCTCCGTCTCGCTAAGATCGTCCCATTTTTCTTTTTCAGGGAGTCCCACTAAGATTTTCTCATTTCAAATTTGATAAAGTTTGTGTGGATCTCTAAATCATTCGTACTTTATTAATTACAAAAACTCATTTTTCTTAATAACCGTGTCACCTCCTCATGTCCCAATGTTAGTGGGACGGGGGTAGTATATTTTATAAACACAAATACGTAACAAAATATTTATATATCTAATAAAAAGTATTTTTATTACTACGAAGTGATCCCAATTTTATCCAACTTTGTGCTCTGAAAAATCCATTCCAAAATTTTAACATATGTAAATCCGAGTTAATTAAACTATTCATTATTAGATTTAATAAATATCACATTATTATTGATAAACATGATAAAGGAACTAAAAATTAATAAATTCGAAATTCAATCTAAGATCAAGAACTACTAACGTAAAATAGGCTGAAACTTACAATCAATACTTAGAATGTAAATTGAATTGAAAGAATCGAAGAAAAATGAAGTTTAGGCATTCCCTTGTGACTAAAAAAAGTAACAATAGGAGTTTAAATTTTCAAAATAAGCTGACTAATAGAGTATTAATTCTAGAGAGAAGAGAGAGCTAGAGAGATAAAGTGATATGTATAATGAATTTCAATTAATCATCCCATCCTTTACATGGCTCCCATAGGGAGTATTTATAGGAGAAAAGAGGGCTGGGCTTCCAGGCTTGGGCCTGGCTGGCCCAGTTACAATAAAAGGCCAATAAATGGCTAATAAATGGTATCTAATCTATTCTAATGGATATACATGAATAAAATAGAGTGTACAATGAGATAAATGCTTTCTACTGAGCGTATGTGGGCCGCTGTCCGGGCCCAATAGTCGTGAGACCCGGGGGTCCGAGTCTATATACTCTATCAGGAGTCCCCCACTCTCTGAGTCGAGAGTACTCGAGGCGAAAGAGAGTAGAACTGTGTGCTGATCTGTCGTCGTTTGGTGAGTAAACCGCTGTCGTCGCCGAAGCGCTTCGTCTGGATTCCCAAGCCTATGATCCGATCCCATTGGCGAGCCCTGGCCGAGGCAACCCTGTGGGAGAATCCTCAGCCGAAGGCCTCATCACCACCGGTCTTGAGACCGGGGAGCTATGTATATGTGCTGGCCGATGTGGCAGCTGAATATGTATGTGATATGATGATGTCGTCGGTGCGTGTGGCAATCCTTGCAAAAATTTTGAATTTGTGCTTTTTCGATGGTGGAGGCGCTAAGTCCCCCGCTCTCCCAGTCCCCCACTCCTTGAGGCGAGTGTAATGAGGTGAAGAGGAGTAAAGTAATGCCTGTCTGATGATGTCTTCAACGGGGGCCGAGGGTTGACACCTTTTGATCCACAATGGGGAGATGCCTCGTTAAAAACCTCATTAGGAAAAACCCTGTGGGAAAAAATCCTAATGAGGGAAAAAGAGTACATCGGATGCCCCCAGAACGAAACAAAAGGTGTGAGCCCTTCGGCCTAGAGGTGGAGCTGCAGCGGTGTCCGTCTGCCGAGGGGATGGCAGAGGCCGATCCATAGATGTGGGTAGCTCGTCATGATCAGTAGTCCTAGTCATCAAATAAAGATGACTAAGGGATGGGTCGAGAGACCGTCCATAATATGATGTCTGGTTCATCAAATAAAGATGACCAGAATATGAGGCCGATGGGCCGATGTGAGCTCCACGTCATCAAATAAAGATGACTGGGAGTAGTGGCCGAGAGGCATATATGAGAGCTCCACGTCGTCAAATAAAGACGAAGGGGCGATGTGTGGCCGAGGGGCCTGGATAAGAGCTCCACATCGTCAAATAAAGACGACGGGGCGAGATATGGCTCAGAGGCCTATAGATGAGTTCCTCGTCATCAAATAAAGATGACAGAATGATATGTGGCCGATGGGCCTGTAGATGAGCTCTTCGTCATCAAACAAAGATGACAGAATAATATATGGCCGATGGGATTGTAGATGAGCTCTTCGTCATCAAATAAAGATGACAGAATAATATATGGCCGATGGGCCTGTAGATGAGCTCTTCGTCATCAAATAAAGATGACAGAGCGGTATATGGCCGATGGGCCTGTAGATGAGCTCTTCGTCATCAAATAAAGATGACAGAGCGGTATATGGCCGAAGGGCCTATAGATGAGCTTCTCGTTATCAAATAAAGATGACAGAGCAAGATATATGGCCGATGGGCCTGTATGAGAGCCCTTCGTCATCAAATAAAGATGCTAGAGCAAGATGTGGCCGAGGGGCCTATAGATGAGATCTGAGATCCTTTAGTCTCTGAGCCGGAGACCGCAAGATGTTTGCTAGATCCGAACATGAGGACGAGGCGTTGGACGCCTGTCTGAATATGAGGATGAGGCGCTGGGCGCCTGTCTGAATATGAGGACGAGGCGTTGGGCGCCTGTCTGAATGTGAGGACGAGGCGTTGGGCGCCTGTCTGAATATATGCGGACCAGGCGTTGGACGCCTGTCTGAATATGAGGACGAGGCGTTGGACACCTGTCTGAATATGAGGACGAGGCGTTGGACGCCTCTCTGAATATGAGGACGGGGCGTGGGACGCCTGTCTGATGATACGATGACGAGGCAATGCTGAGCCGATCATCATATAGAGGCAACGGTCGCCATCCAGGAGGGGATGGCGAGCCCGATCGCTAACCCAAGACATTCGGCAATGAGAGGCCGGTCTCGGAGATAGGACATCACATCGTGGCCTAGGGGCCGATCGTGATGTGAGGACGGCCGTGATAAGGAGCCGATCCAAAATAACAATGATGAGGCGATGATAAGCCGGTCGCCATGTAGGGGCGATAGTCACCATCCAGGAAGGGATGGCGAGCCTGATCGCTAGCTCAACACACTCGGCGCTGATGAAGCCGGTGTTGAGATAGATCATCACGCCGAGGCCGGGGCGGCGGTCGTGATATAAGGATGGCGATAATGGGTAGCCGATCTGAATAATGATGACGAGGCAGAGATGAGTCGGTCGTCATGTAGAGGCGACGGTCACCATCCAGGAAGGGATGGGGAGCCCGATCGCTAGCTCAACACACTTGGCGCCGATAAAGCCGGTGTTGAGATAGGGCATCACGTCGAGGCCGGGGGGCCGATCGTGATGCGAGGTCGTCAGCACTATGAGGCTGAGCCAAACGTCCAAGCAACGGTCGCCATCCGATGAAGGAATGACTGAGACCGGTCTTGGGGAATATGATCACGTCGAGGCCGAGGGCCTGCCATGATCGGCACTGAGGGGCCGACCCAAAAATCCATGCAATGGTCGCCACCCAGTAAAGGAATGGCTAAGACCAGTCTTGATATAAGGTACCGCGCCTTGGCCGAGAGGCCGGCCGCGATGCGAGGATGACGACTATGATAAGCCGGTCCAATGTATGATGACGAGGCAATGATAGGCCAATCGCCATGTAGAGGCGACGGTTGCTATCCCGGAAGGGAATAGCAAGCCCAATCGCTAGATCAAGACACTTGGCGCTAAGGGAGCCGGTCTTGAGATAAAGCATTACGTCGTGGCCGAGGGGCCCGATCGTGATGTGAGGACGAAGATGCTGAGGAGCATGTCCGAGATATGATGACGAGGCAATGATAGGCCAATCGTCATGTAGGGGCAACGGTCACCGTCCAGGAAGGGACGGCGAGCCCGATTGCCAACTCAAGACACTTGGCGATGAGAAGCCGGTCTTGAGAAGGAATAATCACACCAAGGCTGGGAGGCCGGTCGTGATGTGCGGATGGCGATGATGATGAGCCGATCCGAATAATGATGATGACGAGGCGGAGATGAGCCGATCGTCATGTAGAGGCGACGGTTGCTATCCCGGAAGGGAATAGCACGCCCAGTCGCTAGCTCAAGACACTTGGCGCTAAGGGAGCCGGTCTTGAGCTAGATCATCACGTCGAGGCCGGGGGGCCGATCGTGATGTGCGGATGGCGATGATGATGAGCCGATCCGAAGATCCAAGCAACGGTCGCCATCCGGGAAGGGATGACTAAGACCGGTCTTGAGATAAGGTATCACGCCTTAGCCGAGAGGCCGGACGCGATGTAAGGACGACGGCGATAATGAGCCGGTCCAACATATGATGACAAGGCGATGTGAAGGCCGATCGTCATATAGAGGCAACGGTCACCATCCAGGAAGGGACGGCGAGCCCGATTGCCAACTCAAGACACTTGGCAATGAGAAGCCGGTCTTGAAGAGAAATAATCACGCCAAGGCTGGGAGGCCGGTCGTGATGTGCGGATGGCGATGATGATGAGCCGATCCGGATAATGATGACGAGGCGATGATGAAGCCGATCGTCATGTAGAGGCAACGGTCACCATCCAGAAAGGGACGGCGAGCCCGATTACCAACTCAAGACACTTGGCAATGAGAAGCCGGTCTTGAGGAGAAATAATCACGCCAAGGCTGGGAGGCCGGTCGTGATGTGCGGATGGCGATGATGATGAGCCGATCCGGATAATGATGACGAGGCGATGATGAAGCCGATCGTCATGTAGAGGCAACGGTCACCATCCAGGAAGGGACGGCGAGCCCGATTGCCAACTCAAGACACTTGGCAATGAGAAGCCGGTCTTGAGGAGAAATAATCACGCCAAGGCTGGGAGGCCGGTCGTGATGTGCGGATGGCGATGATGATGAGCCGATCCGGATAATGATGATGACGAGGCGGAGATGAGCCGATCGTCATGTAGAGGCGACGGTTGCTATCCCGGAAGGGAATAGCAAGCCCAGTCGCTAGCTCAAGACACTTGGCGCTAAGGGAGCCGGTCTTGAGCTAGATCATCACGTCGAAGCCGGGGGGGCCGATCGTGACATGCAGATGGCGATGATGATGAGCCGATCCGAAAATCCAAGCAACGGTCGCCATCTGGGAAGGGATGACTAAGACCGGTCTTGAGATAAGGTATCACGCCTTAGCCGAGAGGCCGGACGCGATGTAAGGACGACGGCGATAATGAGCCGGTCCAACATATGATGGCGAGGCGATGTGAAGGCCGATCGTCATATAGAGGCAACGGTCGCCATCCAGGAAGGGACGGCGAGCCCGATTGCCAACTCAAGACACTTGGCAATGAGAAGCCGGTCTTGAGGAAAAATAATCACGCCAAGGCTGGGAGGCCGGTCGTGATGTGCGGATGGCGATGATGATGAGCCAATCCGAATAATGATGACGAGGCGGAGATGAGCCGATCGTCATATAAAGGCGACGGTCACCATCCAGGAAGGGATGATGAGCCCTGTCGCTAGCTCAGGACACTTGGCGATGAGAAGCCGGTCTCTGAGAAGAAATAATCACGCCAAGGCTGGGAGGCCGGTCGTGATGTGCGGATGGCGATGATGATGAGCCAATCCGAATAATGATGACGAGGCGGAGATGAGCCGATCGTCATATAAAGGCGACGATCACCATCCAGGAAGGGATGATGAGCCCTGTCGCTAGCTCAGGACACTTGGCAATGATAAGCCGGTCTCTGAGAAGAAATAATCACGCCAAGGCTGGGAGGCAGGTCGTGATGTGCGGATGGCGATGATGATGAGCCGATCCGAATAATGATGACGAGGCGATGATGAGCCGATCGTCATAGGAAGCGACGGTCGCCATCCAGGAGGGGAATGGCGAGCCCGGTCGCTAGCTCAAGACACTTGGCGCTAAGGAGGCCGGTCTTGAGATAAAGCATCACGTCGTGGCCGAGGGGCCGATCGTGAAGAACGGATGGCGATGATGATGAGCCGATCCGGATGATGACGAGGCGATGATGAGCCGATCGTCATATAAAAGTATGACGGCGTTGGGGAGGCCGTTCATAAGCTGATGGAGCAAGAGCTTCGGCATTGGGAGCCGGTCTTGAGATGAATAATAAGTTCGGGAATTTATTTATTTTTATTGCTCGAGACCGGCAAGTGCGCGGTCCGTCGGCTTCCCTCTTTTTTTTTTTTTTTTTTTTTTGGATGGCCGAAGGGTTACTGTCCCTTCGTCCATGTGCGGTATTTTGTCCGCTACGCTTTTCGCGTGTGTTAGTGCGAGGGAGTAAATACGCCCTCGGCTTGGTGTGTCAGTGGCATCCTTTTTTGCCTTTCCACGTCTATCGGCGACGAGGGACCGGACTAGGCATCGTCTTTTGACGGCCGCCCTTTGTGGTCCTGAGCGAAATTTTACTGACGGGTGGAGTTTTTGTAACCTCAGCCTTAATTCAGGCCTGTCGTCCTGCGGTTTCCGCGCGGACGACGCGGTATGCTTCTCCGTTTGAAGACGTTGGACCATGCACACAGGTCCTTCGTCCTGCATATCGCCGGCCGATTTGGGTGTTTCACCGCTTGTGCCGATACGATATTTAGGTGCGTTGTTTATTGCAACGGCTTTGTAGGCGCGTTGTGGATCGCAACGGCCTTAGGTGCGTTGTGTATTGCAACGGCTTTGGATGCGTCGTTTATTGCGACGGCTTTAGGTGCGTTGTTTATTGCAACGGCTTTGAGTGCGTTGTTTATTGCAACAGCTTTGGGTGCGTCGTTTATTGCGACGGCTTTAGGATGACGCAATGAGCGTGTAGGGGAATGAGGTGTACCGCTTCTAGGCATAATGCTGTGTACGGCCGATGATGGCTCTCATTCTAGATGTCCGGGTCATCAAATAAAGATGACCATGGTAGGTCAAGGGACCCAAATATAATCCGAATCATCAAATAAAGACGTTCGGAAGGTTAAGGCTTTGGCCCGCACCAATTGGAGATTTTAATCCGCTAGCAACGGTGATAATAATAATAACGGTAGTAATTATTATTATTATTATTATTATTATTATTATTATTATTTTTGTTTTGAATAGTTAGTAAAACTATTTTTTTCTTTCTTTGGAATAGTAGTAAAACTATTTTTTCCGGAAATAGTAGTAAAACTATACATTTTTTTTAATAGTGGTAAAACTATTTTGCTCCATATTTAATGCATAAAATAGGAGGAAAAGTTTGTGAGACTTACTTGTATTTGGGCCGAAGCCTGCCCTGCTTAGAATTCAAGCAGGGAAATATAAGATTGGGCCTGCACTTTAGGAATCCAACCCTGGAGATTAAACAGCTGGCCCATATTGTACTGGCCCATTCAACTGAAATACTGGTCCCGAATCTTGCCCCGTCGTTAATTTCATCCGCAGGGGAGCAATTGGGCCGAAGTAGTGCCTTGAACTGGCCGCCGCGATGTCAAGGTGGAAGGCTGCGTCCAGGGGCGCCGAGGTCCAGGTGGTTCACTTTCTTGGCCGCCGCTGATAGCCATGGGCGATGAGATGGCCGAGGGTCCCCCCTATGGCCGAGGGTCAGCTGATTTTGCACTGACGGGACCTCGGACGAAGGTGGCCTTCCCGATGGGCGATGCTCCCACTGCGCCGAAGGGGTTCTGGCCTTCAAGATAGAACGCCGAAGGGGGCTGAGGTGATCCCGATCATATCTGGCCAGATGCCGTCGCCTGCCGAGGTGGACCTTTTTTGGCCGATGCTTAGCTTCTGGGACCCATATTTTTTTTTGTTTTTAGCGATGGTGCACTGCCGATGAGGTGCCGGCCGATGAGGTGCCGGCCGATGAGGTGCCGGCCGATGAGGTACCGGCCGATGAGGTGCCGGCCGATGAGGTGCCGGTCGATGAGGTGCCGGCCGATGAGGTGCCGGCCGACGAGGTGCTCTTCCTCTTTGTTGTCCCGGAGTGTTGGATCTTGGCCGAAGGAACTGCTATTCCTCCGTCTAAGACGAGGGGTAGTCTGCCACTCTGCCTCCCTTGTTGCTGTTCCACCGCTTGAATCGTGTAGGCCGAAGAGGATCCCTCATGCTAAGAAAATGAGGGCCCCATTCGGCCGAGGCGGACTGCTGGACGTGGGACAGCTTTTTCCTTTTTCTTGTCTGAGTTTGACCGAGTTTGCTGCACTGGCCGAGGGGCCAATGTGGACGAGGGGAGCTGAGAAGCTTTGCTTGGCCGCTGTGTTGCTGGCCGATGAGCCACGACCGAGGCGTTCTGGCCGGGGTATGCCGGCCGATGGTGTGGCCAGCCGATGCGTCGTGGCCGGAATGTTGCTGGCCGATGCATGCTGGCCGTTGTATGCCGGCCGGTGCCTAGCTCCCTCAATTGTTTGGCCGATGGTGTGCTGCTGACATGAGATGTGCTGCAGCATTTGAGTGGCTTCAGTTTTTTTTTTACGCCACTAGCTTCACCAACTTGGCCGAAGAGGTGCTGCAGGATGCTTATTGGTTTGCTGAGGAGATTCTTGGCCGAAGACATTGCTTTCCTCATGCAGGAATTTGAATGATGATCATGAGCCGAGGGTCCCACCAGCTTTGTGCCTTTATGTATCTATTCCTTTTTCTTTTAGTTTTACCCGAGGTGAACATTGGTCTGCCGGTGGTGGGAGTTCCTCACTTTGGCCGAGAGTACATGTTGCCTCTACTTGGGCCGAGGTGTACCCTTTGTTTATTCACGTGGAGTTTTGTTGGTTGGGGAGGATCTCACTTGATCTGTCTAAGCTCTCAATGAAAGCACCATATAATAGAGTATTAATTCTAGAGAGAAGAGAGAGCTAGAGAGATAAAGTGATATGTATAATGAATTTCAATTAATCATCCCATCCTTTACATGGCTCCCATAGGGAGTATTTATAGGAGAAAAGAGGGCTGGGCTTCCAGGCTTGGGCCTGGCTGGCCCAGTTACAATAAAAGGCCAATAAATGGCTAATAAATGGTATCTAATCTATTCTAATGGATATACATGAATAAAATAGAGTGTACAATGAGATAAATGCTTTCTACTGAGCGTATGTGGGCCGCTGTCCGGGCCCAATAGTCGTGAGACCCGGGGGTCCGAGTCTATATACTCTATCACTGACCCTTCCTATTATACCCTTTCCCTTGTTATTATTAATAGGATTTCTTATAAAACACTCTTTCCGTATTTATATATTCTCTACAATAGCTTTTGGCACAATGTTTTAGGAGAAAATAGTAGGAGTAATGAATAGTGTAAAAAAGTAGGAAAGAGTGTGTAAAAGTATGAAAGACAGGATAAAAAGTAGAAAAAGTAAGAATAATTGTGTACTTTTAAAGGAAAAACTAATCATAAAGGGAAAGTGTATCAAACTTTTATATATATCCCAAAAGGAAAAGTGTAGCAAACTTTAAAATACGGAGGGAGTAATAATAAAACATAAAACAATTAAAATAAAAAAAACATTAAAATAATTTAAAAAATATACAGACCTCAACCACCACCTCAGCCACCTTCCAGCACCGCCATATCCGATCGACGGGAAAAAATAATTAGAAATGTCCTCCTGATGACAATTTTGAAAAGAAAGTTGAATATTTTCAAAAGAATGAAAATGTCAAATATTCATGGCATGTTTAGATGAATATGACATTTTTACACAAGATGACATTTTCCCCCATTGACCGGAGCTGGTGGTGCTGCGGGGTGGAGGATGTAAAGGTAATAGCCTATATATTTTTTAGTATTTTCTATAAGAATTTTATTTTATTTTATTTCTAAGTTTTTAAGTTTTTTGATTTTAATAATAGTAAAGCCGCGGTCATCTCCCTAGTTTTCTAGGGTTAGTATTTGTTGCGCCGCTTCTGATCCGATCGACGAGGGAAGGGATCCGCCTCTGCACTACTTCTTCATATAGGAGTTCTCGCTCGAAGAGAAGGAAGCATGTCTTGGCTCGTGATTGTTTCAGAATTTGGTGGTCGGCCGGTGATTGTTAGAGCGAAGGGAGGAGGATGAAGGAAGGCGGCTTAGCCATGAGAGACGCTTTTCTGGCAGTGGGGACTATATTCATAGGGATTAAGGAGATGCTATTCGAAATTGTGGTGGTGGTTTTGCAAGGAAAGGTTCAAGATGAAGGATGATGATCCGCCCCCCACCCGAGCCACCGCCGAGGATGATGTTTGAAGAATGGATTCTTTGGCTTTGTCAGCGTATTTTATTAAATTTCGTTTTACTCTTTTTGAGTTTTTTAGGCATGAATGTTGTCGTTGTTGTTTTCTGCTATTTTTATTTCAGTAAGATTCTTGCATTAGGTTGGGGTGATAAGGGGTTTAGTCTAACCACGTTAGGCTCATTTAGACTCATTGCAGGATCAGCGAGCTATATTGCTTTGTCCAGAGTGATTGACTCTAAAGCTGGTTCGAGAGTCGTTGGTTGGAAGTGGTCCTTTTGTCTTCTTGTTCCCTAGCTGAATGCTGTAATATCAATTTAAGCCACCTTCTTACAAAAAAAAGTTTTTGATTTTTTAAACTTTTTTTTCGATTTATTTATTTATTTATTTATTTATTTATTTATTTATTTATTTATTTATTTATTTATTTATTTATTTATTTATTTATTTATTTATTTATTTATTTATTTATTTATTTATTTATTTATTTATTTATTTATTTATTTATTTATTTATTTATTTATTTATTTATTTATTTATTTATTTATTTATTTATTTATTTATTTATTTATTTATTTACTCCCCCCGTCCCAAAAACAACTTCCCCATTCACTATTCATTGGTCAACTTGAATCACTCGTAATCTTTTACTTTTTATATCAAATTTTTATCAAATTTAAATTTTATTGATCAGGCTTTGTAGCGGTTTTAATGTAGTTCTGAATATGTAAATTTTATTTACTAAAAATAATCCGAGTGTGAGCAGGGATCGAGTTGCTTTATCGTCAGTCAAGCATAGTAAACCGAACGGGAAGATAATTTTGGGACGGAGGTAGTATTTATTTATTTATTTATTTATTTATTTATTTATTTATTTATTTATTTATTTATTTATTTATTTATTTATTTATTTATTTATTTATTTATTTATTTATTTATTTATTTATTTATTTATTTATTTATTTATTTATTTATTTATTTATTTATTTATTTATTTATTAATATTTTAATGATTTTATGTTTTTTTTTATAAATAAAATTATATTTTTTTTTGTTAAACTACGGAGTACGAAGTATATTACTTCTATTTTCTGAAAAAATGTTAATAATAGTGCTATAGTGGAATTTTTGGGCTACTTTTAGTAGTTGGGCTAATCGCAGAGAAAGAATACTAATCCAGAAAAGTCAGCGCTAATAAAACCAAATCAAATTCTCACTTATTATCCCCAAGCAAGAACTTGTTTCCAGTCTTGCGCAATTCAGACTTCCTAATTCCTATATACACACTATCTTCGTGGCAAAGATCATTAGCAGCACTTCATAATCTCTCATTAGAAAAAAGGGAAATCAGAAGAGAAATTGCAGAAATGTCAATGGGAGGAGGAGAACCAGATAGAGTTCAATCGACAGTGCATAATCTTGGATCAAGCTTCGTAGAAGAAGGTAGTTCGCCGCTGTACAACCAAATGATTCTACCGGTTTCCTCTCCACCTAGCTCTTACCAGCTCCCCGCCGGATACGGCGGTGGAGAGGCGCCTCTGACGGCTCCAGTTCAGCCCAGTCTCAACCCTAGCGTAACAGAAACGGTCAAGAAGAAGAGAGGAAGGCCTCGGAAGTACGCTCCCGACGGGAGTAGAAACCCCGGGATGATGTCTCCGGTAAGATCTTTGTCCCCGGCCGGGACACGCGCGGCGGGGACGGAAACCTCTCCCAAGAAAACCAGGGGCAGGCCTCCTGGGCGTGGACAGAAGCGGAAAATGGATGAAATTTCCGCTTCGACTGCTGTTCCTGTAGGTATGTATACCTGCAATCTACATTGGCTATTTCCCAATAATGTTCTTCTTCTTCTTCTGATTAATTATCATTAAAATTATTTTCTTGTTTAATGTTGTTTATTTTTCTTGCTATTACATTAATATAAAATAAAATAGTTCGGAGTAATAGTTAATTTACTTTATACTTTATTAGTTGGAGTTGGACAATACTTTATAATTTGAAATTCTTTTAGTCAGGCTTCTAATGTCTTCTTTAGTATATTAGTCCAAACCGATAGTTCGATATTAATTTTTTTCTTAATCGTGGATAAGTTCTTATTGTTCCACTATATATCTGATTTTATACCAGCTATGGATATCTCCGGAACTTGGAATTTTCTGTGATAAGTGATCATTTCCATTGCAGGGAGACCATTTTCTGCATTGTCAGGGATGGGACAGGGCAGGAGGGTTGATATTAATTCTTTAGATAACTTCTGCATTTTGATGGTTGGAGTTACAGGGAGGATACAAACTATGTAGAAATACATGGTCTGTTGGTCTAAGTAATCAAATATGTAGTAGTTATTATAAGTCTAAAACTAACAAAGATAGATAGATATATAAGTAAAACCAGTCCTTCTCTCTGAAACCCCTAACCAAATTAGTCCCTTGGAGCAATATGTCGAGCTGCTTCAATATGTTATTGGTGGTGTTAATTCTTATTTTTCACCAAGTCACTTATAACATGTGAATATGCAGGATCACCAGGAGCTGGGTATGGATTTAAACCACACGTCATCACAATAAATGCTGGAGAGGTATAGTCTTATTACTCTGATTTTTATCCCACACCATCTCTATCCTTTTTGTCAGCAATATGGTGTTTTTCATTCTTCTATACACATTTCCTGTTCTACCTGCATTAGGTCAAAATATAGGAATTCTTCTACCTATGTGACCTTCAGTAGAGTTCCTTTTTAGATTTTCCTTGCTCTGTTGCTGTTTTGAGTGTTTTCCAATCCACTCTTGCATACAAGTTGAACAGTCACTGATGAAGTAGATATCCAGATAATAGTACAAGTACACCCTTCCTTTCTTCTTTGAAAATAAATTTCCAATTTTATTTCTGAATCCTATGGGCTACGGCTCTGTGAGAAAATGTGCCCTTCCTGTTTAGTTTAATTTGTCTAGCCCGTCTAACTCTTCAAGCAGATTCTTTTTTGGTGTGCTATTAATGTCATAGAAATATACAAATAAGTTTTTCCTAAAAGAATACTCCGTATTACACTATTCTAAAGACATAACAATGTCATTAAAATTCTCACTATGCAACTTGGTCGAACAGTAGCAATGCATCATGATCCAAACAAACACTCCTTTCACTGTTTTCTTCTTATACTTGGATTACGCTTCAGTTGCTTATGTTTTGAAGTTTGAACATCCAACTCAGTATTTATAGTTGTTCTTGACAGGATGTACAGGCAAAATTGATGTCATTTTCTCAAAGCACATCCCAAGCAATCTGTATTATGTCTGCAAATGGTGCCATATCTAATGTATCTCTTCGTCAACCAGCAATATCTGGCGGGTCTGTGACATATGAGGTTTGTACTCGTGTTTTTTAACACTTTTTACCACGCCCCTTTTGGATATATTTAAATTCCAATAACTCTGGGAATTTAAAAAAAATTACATGCCTTTAGTTAAAGCTTTATATATAGCTACTACTCTTGTGCACCTTTTAAAGGCTTTATTATTTGTTATTAACTAATACAATCCATTCCAAAGTTCCTTTTTAAAAATCATCTCCTCTAGATATGCCATACGCCCATACATAGTAGATAATATACACAGGATACCTATAAGAGTACTATGTATGAGGTTTTGCCGTTAAGTACTTAAGTGTTTGTATGATAGTGCATACGTAAATTTATTCTAAGAATCTGTACTTACTGACTACCAAAACCAAAACTACATCTACATATCTAAATGATTAGGACATGGTTATATTCTGCTAATGGGATTGTTTGAATAAACTATACTGATTCGGTTGCATCAATTTTACTTTGTATTGCCTTTTATTGTTTAAAGTTTTGACTTGTTTTATTGGGTACCTGTGAAATATGGCAAGTGCTCTCAATATCCTGAAACGTTTTATATTTGGGGGATATCATGTTCCCATATACCAGTT